TGCCGTCGAGTCGGACCTGATTCATAGCGACCCCTCCTTGGGTTGCCGAGGCAGTATCACTACTGAAGTAGATTGCCCATTCTTCCTTCCGAGGAGTGGCTGGTGGGTTGGAACTGCCAGCCTTCTGGCTAGCAGTCAAGTGCCTTAAGCACTATGCTACCAGAGCTCCTATAACATATATAGAATAACATAATTTATGTAAGATGTGTATGTAACTATGGAAATATACTGCAGTCTATTTTAGAAGTGAGTATCTATCCTTAAAATGAAATCAGCAAACTCCTAAGTCTTTTCTATAGTTAAACATGTTCAATTCATATGTTGAACATTTACATTTTTTTTCCTCAATATGTCACTTTAATAATTCCATGGACAACTTCCTTGTAAATAAGTTTTTATCTGTATTCTCTAGATTTTTATTTGACACGTTCAGTTTATGGACATTTTAAAACATTTTAATAAATGGTTTAAATTACCTTCTGAGTTGTTGTTGTGTGTCACTGGGTTAATTCTGCCCCATAGAGTTTCCTAGGCCATAATCTTTACGGGAGCAGAATGCTAGGTCTTTTTCCCTCTGAAGCCTCTGGTGGGTTTGAACTGCTCAGCAAGCACTTAAACATCGTGCCACCAGGTCTCCTTGGCCTTCTGTGATTCAACCATTAACTCTAGATAGTTTTTATCTTTAAAGATATTTGCCAGTTTGGTAAGTAAAAATAGTATTATAATTCTCTTTGCTCTTTAAAATAATTTAACCATATATTCATGTGTTTTGACCAATTTTTTACGAATTGCTCATTTATTTTTCTCTTAATCCAGGCCCTTTGGATTGCATGTAACAAACTCAAAACTGCATATACAAAATATAAGGAGTTTCTTACAAGAATACCAGAGTGTCTTAGAGGATAGATGAGAGTCTATGCAGGAAGTGTAGCATAAGGCTGGGCCTTATGAGTGGGTGGGTGGTCTTAGAGACTCAGGCTAAAAAGAACTTGCTTCCCCTCCTGCCACCCTTTTATTTTCTCCTTCCTTCTCCTTTTTTGCATAATCCTCTTCCTCCCTGGTCCCTTTTACCCTTCCCTCCAACTCCTCACCTTCTTTAGTTTTTTTATGTACACTCTGATTCTTTGTTCTGCTTTCAGTTTTTCTTTTTGACTTTAAAAAAAAATAAAAACTTACTAAAGGTTTTACTTTTCAAGTAGTAAATTCTATTGATTTTTTTTTTCTCCTGTGTGGTTTATTTTATTCTTAGAAAGACCTTTCTCATCTTGAATTTTTTTTTGATGTGTATGCATCTGTGTGTGTTTCTGTATAAAATGCACATATATAACGTACATACGATACAAGGTATCACAAACCAAAAAGAAACCAAACTCACTGTCGTTGTGTTGATTCCAACTCATAGCAACCCCCCTTGGGTTTCTAAGGCTATAAATCTTTATGGAAGTAGATTGCCCCATCTTCCCTTTGTAGAGCAGCTGGTTGGTTGTGAACTGCTGACCTTCTTGTTAGCAGCCAAATACCTTATCCATTACACCACCAGAGCTCCTTATAGGTATCATACTTTATTCTAATTCCTTTTCTCTTTCTTTCATCTAACATCCGTTCCTAATCTGACATTTTTTAATTTTACCTTTTCTTAGGTAGTTTTTATTTTTAAAAGTATTTGCCAATTTGGTATGTAAAAATAGTATTACAATTCTGTTTTGTCTTTGTAATGATGGCTAGTGAGTTTAACTACATATTCATCTGACTTATGCATTGGTTGTGACATTGATTTTTATTTCAAGAGAATTCTTTTAAAAAATGCTGTGCATTATTTCTTCCTCTCTTTAAAAAAAACCTCCAAAACTTTGGGTTAAAGTATAAAAATATAGATGGAAAGAGAGAAGCTGGAAAAGAACACCTGTACACACCAGCCCAATTCAATAGTTAACAGTATTTTGCCACATGGGTTCTTTTTCATGCTTGGAACTTATTTTGAGAATCTGGTTCTTCTGAGCAGCCCCATTTTCTTCCTATCAGATAACAGTGCCTTCACTTCTGCCTATTTGTTAAATGTCCTTTCTTTAAAATACAAATTCATGAACCATAGGTTTCTAAAGTATTCTTTTATAGAGTTCTGCTCTAATCTTCAATTTTTTTTTTTTTTTTTTTTGAAAACAACAAGACAAAATTAAAAAAACTTCCTTTGAGATCTAGCTGGATATTTTAGTAATAATTTATACAACCTGATATTTCTGGAGAAGTAGTATTTAATAGTTAAACTCTTCTTACTTGAAAAATTTATTCAGTATTTTTACAGAATAACAAATTATCAGAGTTTGAAAGGTTGAGGCTAATTAGCTAATGGTTTCTTATAGATAAAATAGGAAAGATTTGATTTAAAATAGTTACAGTAATGTTAAAATAAATCATTAGAGAAACATTGACATATAATCTGAAAAAAATGTTATGATAATTTGTTCTTTGAAGAAAATTCAAAAATATGGAAAATTATGAAGATGAAAAATTGAAAGTATCTGCTAATTAAAATTACCTTCTCAAAAAGAATTATGGTTTCTACTTTGGCATATTTTCTTACATCTTTTCCATATAGATTTATTATTTCATACTGCATATGCATTTCTGTGTTATGAAGGATACTTTGATGACCTACTGCATAGGGGTCTTAGCAAAACCAGTAGGTAGTTGCTGATGGGATCTAGTCAGAGTAACCCTTAAAAAATCCCCTAAGTCATGAGTACTTTTGTAATCTTAAAATCCAGTAATCATCTAATTTTGTTTGTCTTGCATTTGGGTGTGAGGGAGGAATTAGTGATTTACTCTTAATTTTCTGGAAGTAATTGTTGTTGTTATGTGCTGTCAAGTCGGACCCCACTCACAGCAACCCCTCCTTGGGTTTCCGAGGCAGTATCACTATGGAAGTAGATTGCCCAACCTTCCTTCCAAGGAGTGGCTGGTGGGTTTGAACTGCCAGCCTTCTGGTTAGCAGTCAAGTGCCTTAGGCACTACGCTACCAGAGCTCCTCTGGAAGTAATTAAATGGATTTAATTGGATGACAAAGAAGTCAAATGAACAAAATTCAGATGAATAGAATGCAGATCTAAAGTAGAAATACAATTCATTTTGTTTCATTGAAATTTTGTATTTTTGTTGAAGATGTTAGATTAAAAAAAAATAGTTTTAAACAAAGCAACTTTAGCAGAAAGAGAAAGAACACATATCTTTATATAAATTATATGTATAATAATATATATAGTTATATCTATCTATCTATATAAAACAATATAACTTCAGCTATAATGTTTAACTTTTTTCATAAACCCAGTGTGGGAAATGGTACAATAACAACTTGTAACTTGCCTAAGATTATAAGGTTTTACCCACTTAGAGAGGCATGAAACTATACCATTTTTCTTTTCATTGCTGTGTTGGCAAATTTATTATAGGATCTTTGCTATTGCATAATTTTTAATGATCCCAGTTTGTTTCTGAATTTTCAAAATATAGTTTAGTTGTTCAGACTGTTCAGTATTTGTATTAGTTTCTTATTGATACTGCAAACATAGTGACTTAAAGCAGCACAAATGTATTGTTCACAATCTGGAAATGAGAAGTCTACACAGGCTCACACGGCTGTGTTCCCTCTGAGGGCTTTTGGAGCAACCTGTTTCCTTGCCTTCTCCAGTTTCTAAAAGCTATCTGTGTTTTCTGGATCCTGACCTCTCCATCTTCAAGGCCAGCAGCAAAGCATCTTCTCTCTTGGGCTCTGCTTCCATCATAACATCACTGATTGACTTACTTTATCTCTGACTTTGACCCTCTATCCTCCCTTTTTTTGAGGACCTTTATGATTTTATCATTGAGCCCATACTAATTTTGTTTTAAGAGCCTCTCATTTGGTTTACTTACTGCATTTCAAAAAGAAAAAGAAATCTCCTTGGAACAAATGTACCATACTTCAGAATTCCAGAATTATGTCATTATTTTACTGATATTTTACTGATATCTTACTGAATCAATAACACAACTGCTACTTTGTCTTCAATTCTTCTTTTTTTTCTTTTTCATTTCAGATCTTGGGCGTTTGGCTGACCTACAGATACAGGAACCAGAAAGATCCTCGTGCTAATCCTAGTGCATTCCTTTGATGGGAAAACAAGGAAAAATCATTCATTTTTGGATCTTGATCTGTAACTTTTAAGTTAACCTGATTTCCCATTTAATGGAGGAAACTGTATCTGAAAAATTACATTAACAGTGGAATTACATATTTTTTACTCTTAGGTATCTCTTTTTGTTTTTCTTTTTGCATTGCTGAAAAAATTCTGACACTTGTGGTCTCCTCTGACCCTCAGTGGCACCTGTAATCTACTGTATTCACAGTGTCTGGCACTGTCCACTGTGGCCTTTCTTAGCATTTGTAGCAGCAGAAAAACTTTGTATGGCACTATTGTGTTGTTCATATTGTGAATTTACAGACCTATTTCACTGGAATAATTTTACTTAGAACTGTGCTGTATAGATAGTTCCACTGGAAAAAGAGTTGAAGTTTATTAAAGCCAGAAAGTATGGGATTTTATTATGTTAAACTCAATAAGGGAAATCCAAATTCCCAATGTTTTTTGTCTCTTTAGGGAAAGATGTGTTGTGATGAAAATTGGTAGTGTGAAAGTGATCCTTTAGTTCTAGTAGTGTTTTATGATTACACTAATGTATTCTAGAAATAGCTATGTCTTTAGAATAGTGTTGGTTTAGGTTTTAGACTTTTACAAGTAAGTGCAGCAGAGAAGTAGTCTCATGAAACATTCTAATATGTAACGTTTACCTTCAGCCTTCAAAATGGAACAAGTTTGCATAATTCAGAAAGTACATCTGTATAACCTAGATCTTTTATAATAATTTGAAGTCCAAAAGATGGCATTTTAAAACATGCCACTTAATATGTTGGCCCATGTAGCAAAAAGATAATTGATTTATCTTACAAATGGCTAAATACCTTTTTTTCATGAAACTTCTCAGCATTGTAACAGCAACTTGTCAAATCTAATCATATTTAAATGTGATCTCCCATAATTTGGAATAGTATTGTACATTATGTTAAAAAATTAAAGAATGAAAACCTTTCTTTATGTATAGATATTTGACTCATAAGAAGGTAATGAGAGTTGAGAAACGAATTCAGTAAAGTGGCATTATTTTTCTTTCTGCTTTGGGTTTGCGTTAACTGATACAGAACTGGATATTTTTATTTTAATGTATAATCAACCATGGAAATGAACTTCCAGCACTAAGGTTTGTTGCTAGTCATCCATACATCTTTTCTTAAAATCATCTAGTTTTTCATTTTATTTACCATACTGAGAAAAGTGCTTTAAAAGAGGAAGTGACTTTTATAGTTATGTGTGAAAATATATGTTCTTTCCTTTTCCAAAATATTACTAATTTATTTTCTTACATTCTGTGCAGTACATGATATTTATTGGTAACAGTCTTGATAGGTTTTAGACAAAGAGGATAAATGGTGGATCTGTAAAATTTTGGAATGTTTTATGGATATATCATTTCTATGACTGTAAGACTAGCTAAATGTTATGTTTAATCTTCAAAGAAGATCGAATTGTGATCATTACTGTGATGTCACATCACGGTCTGGAGCACCCCTAAAAATGTTCCCACTCGTAGTCTAAGATGAGATTACAGGTATCATGTGAAGGAAGTAAGATTTTTAAATTATATCTTCCTTTAAGGTGTTCTGCATTTTCCGTTTGTTTTAACTTTTTAAAAAAATTGTGGTAAGTGAGCTCTGGTGGCATAGTGCCTAAGGCATTTGACTGCTAACCAGAAGGATGGCAGTTGAACCCCAAGGAGGGGTTGCTATGAGTCAGATCAGACTTGATGGCAGTGAGTTTGGTTTTTTGGTTTTATATATAACAAAACATTTGCCATTTCAATGTATTTTACATGTACAGTTGCAAAAACGGCAAGGAGGCCACATGTTCTGACCTCCTCTAATCTTACAAGAGGAAGACAGGGTTACCAGCAGTAACCCAAGGCCTATTACTGCCAGGCTAGACATGCTGCCTCCCTCTAGCCCTTTCTCCAACCGTTCCTCCCAGAGCACCCACCACCTCTCCTTGGTTCGATAATTCACTGCAGTGGCCACACAGAACTCACAGATTACAAGGTTTATTAGGGAAGCACCAAGCTACAATTTCGTTCAGGAAAAATGCTCAGTCTCTCTCTCAGCCCACCATCCCTCAGCCAACAGTCTCTCACAGTCTCTTTCCCAGCAGTGCTGGTCCCTCAGTGTCTCACTCAGCGATGCGTGTCTCTTGTGTCTCTTTCCCAGCAACGCGTGTCTCAGGAGCCCGTGTCTCTTTCAGTAGCTCGTCTTCCTCAACCAGCAGTCAGAGAGAGTTCTGCCTCCAAGAGGCCTCCTTTTGAGCCCGGCAGGGTGGTCAAACTAGCCAACTATAGCATCAGAACTCTAAGCACCTGAGAGAGAGTGGACAAAACAAACATTGTTTTGTGCCACTCCCAACAGAAATACTCCAGGTGGACACCTTCAGCAATCAGGAGCTCCTCGGTTGCTCATAGCAAATCCCACCTTGGAGTTTACAAAGACTTATGGGTAGAAAAGCCACACAAAGTAATTTACTACACTGCAACAGTTAAAGTGACAATAATTGCATTCATCATGCTTTGCTTTGTTATATTTTGATATTCTCACGAGAGTCTGGAATTTCTTAATATAACATTTTTCTTAGTGCAAGTGCTATGAGTGCAGTGATTTTATTCCAGAGAGAACCAGCCCATAGCCTTGGTTTGTGCCCTAAAATCAAAGTCTGAAAAGGATGAATCTTTAGGGCTATTGAACTAACTATAGGTTTATAATTGTGGGTAATAATTGATCATTAGACACTGAAGAAATATATTGTCAAGTGCTAGGGACAGCCCTAAGGAGCTCTGGTGGTGTAGTGGTTAAGGTATTTGGCTGCTAACCAGAAGGTCGGTGATTCGAACCCACCAGCCGCTCTGCAGAAGAAAGATGAAGTAGTCTGTGTTCTTAAAGATTTACAGGCTTGGAAGCCCAGTGGGGGTCACATGAGTAGAAATCAACTTGATGGCAGTGAGGTTTGTTTGTTTGTTTTGAGGGACGGCCCTGTCACATTCATCTGTGCTTTCAATTCAGGGAGATTGATGGAGGTTTCCTGTTGTTTGTGTCTGGTTGTAGAGAGACACAAGTCATCTATACCATGGTGTGTCTCCTAATACTTGTTGGAAAGGCTCTGAATAGTTAGGTACTGAATCCTGCATGGACCTGTTGGTGATCCTACTGAAGTCATGCTGATCTCAAGGATACAGGGGCGAGGCCCTTCCTGCATACACAGAGAGCTTGCTACAAACAAACGGCAACTGAATTTTAGATCAGAGTCTGTCCTTAAATTCTAGCAGATGGCTGTAAGGCGAGCCAACACCCTTGTGCTTTCTTCTTCTATACCTAGCATTTCTTTTTAAAAGAAATTATGCTACTTCAGAACAAACAAACAAAAAAGATCTTTTTCTCTGTTTACATATTCCATGTTGAAGAATGTTCTAGAACATTTGCTCAGTCGGCCTGGATGCTAGAGGTGACATGTTAACTAAAGACTATAATGTTAATGCAAAGAAAGAAAGAAAAAAAATCGAGGCTCTAACTTCTAAAACCTGAGCTCATGTGAATTAAATCCTTCACGGATACTCTATTATATAAGCCACAAGGCATTTGGTAGAAAACGAGCTCTATATATTCAACCTAAGAAATCTGCTGCTGAATAGAGCCTGTAAGAGAAGTAAAGTGTGACTTTTAGTTCTTAGTTTCCTTAAGCAAAAATCCTTCAATCCTTCTAAATATTGCTTACTGTTTAAATTTATTCATTGTTTGAAAATACACTGAGTAAACCACATGAAACTATTTCATGCTTTAACTTGTACTGAAAAAGTTAGAATTGCATTTGTATATAGTATTTCACAGGGGAAAAGAGATACCAGGCATTGTGTTTGTACATACATGATCACTTACATGCATATTGTTTTATATTATTAGAGATGACAATAAAGTTAAATGTCAACTTTTCTAGGTTTCTGGAGAAGTGAGGGGCCTTATGTACCATTTTGTACTTGGTATGTTAGGGGACTAGCTGTTCATTTTTATTCTAATTTCTCTGTACCAAATGCAATTATAATATGTGTTGATGGTAAATGTTTTCTAAACAACTTTCAGGTAAACAAACACACTGCCCTTCACCCCACACCTCAACTGTGTGAATAACAGAAGAAAGAAGGAGAGAGAAAGAGAAGGGAGGGAGGGAAAGAGAGAGGGAGGGAGAGAAAGAAGAGAGCTGTTGTCCCTCCCCCCCTTATGCTGAACTTCTTGACTGTCAGATGATAACTGGGCAATTGTAGTTGCTAAAATATCTTTTTTTTTAAATTTTTATTGTGATTTGGGTGAAAGTTTACAGAGCAAATTCACTTTCTGTACAGCCGCTCACATACACTCTGTCTCATGACATTGACTACAATTTCCCACAATGCAACAGCTCCCCTCCCACTTCCTTCCTATAGTTACCTCTTCCCTGTGTCCTTCCCTCCCATGAACTCCTGTCTCCCCCCACCCATCACAGCTGTCTCGCTGTGCATACACAGCCCTTCTATTCTCCCATGATTGATCTTTTCAGGGAGTGTATCTACCTAATGTAAATGCTCAGCTCATATCCCTGTCTTTTGTTTGGCTGGAAGTCGCAGGAGTGGGTTCAATTCCAGACCTGAAGGGCAACTAGGGGCCATAGTTTCAGTGGTTCCACCAGGCTCCAGCAAACCAGTAAACCTGGTCCTTTTTTTTTTTTTAATGATTTTGAGTTTTGTTCCATACTGTTTTCCCACTCTATCCAGGATCTCCTACAGAGATGCCCATTTGAGTGGTTGACAGTGATAGCCGGGCACCATCTAGTTCTGGTCTCATGGTCGCATAGACTGAGGAATGCATGGTGTACCAGTCACTTGGACTGATTGTTTGCACGTGTCTTTGTTTTTTTTCATTCTTCTTTGCTCTGGATGAGGAGAGACCCATCGTTGCTTCTAGATGGATACTTGCAAGCTTTTGAGATACCAGTCGCTACTCACCAAAGTAGGATGTGGAACAATCCTGTGGTATGCTATGCCAGTTCCACTGAAATCTCTCTTGAGAAAGGGAAAAGTCAGACTCCCTTACCATGGGGTGTTCCAGCCCTCTTCTCATCTACTCTCTAGAGGAAAACCAGATTTGGAATTCATTGTCAAATGAGGGCTTGAGAAAGTCTCCCATGAGTTAAAATATACTTCAAATAATTGACTTTATTTGTAGGGTGAAACTGCTTTTATTTTCAGGATCTTGCTTTTTATAGGCAGATAAGGTTATAACTTGTTAAGTGACCTTTTAATAAGTTAGGCTATATTTATTTGGACTTTCAGTCTGATTTCTTGGTTAGGTATTAAGAAGGTTCTATTCTTTTCTTAGAGCTTTTTCTGTTCTTCCCCTGAACCTCATTCTCATCAGTGATTACTAAATATAAGGGGGCCTTGAAAGCCATTAGAATTACTGAATGCATGGGAAAAAAAAGGATATAGACAGTCATAGATGGCCATATGCAGAAGACTGAAGATCTAATACAGGTCAAAGATGAAATCAGGCATGCTTATCATCTCTGTAAATATTATAAAAGATTTATTTTACCAACATTTCTAATCAGCTGTTTGAAGTAATTCACTCTAGTCTTATAGTAGGAGCTCCTGGATGGCTCAAATGGTTAAGTTCTTCACTACTAGCCAAAAGGTTGGTGGTTCAAACCCACCTAGAGGCACCTTGGAAGACAGGCCTGGCAATCTGCTTCTGAAAGGTCATAGCCTTGAAGATCCTATGGAGCAATTCTACTCTGCACACATGGGATCACCATGAGTTGGAATTGACTCTGTAACAACCAACAGGTCTTAGAGTACTCCTCTACTTTTCTGTAGTAAGAAAAAGAGTCAAGAAATGTTTTCACTTGAAATTTATTTAAACACAAATGAAAGATTGTGAGATGACTGTAAAGGGATTTTGTAGAATAGGTTGCTAACCTTAAAACAACTGTTTATATGTTTGTATATTTAATTCTATTTCTAACCTGTATTTTCACATTTCTTGTAGTTGCAGTCATACCATGAATTCATTTTCACTAAGACTTTTTTCTGTTTCTCCACAGTCACTACTACTATGTTAACAACATACTGCACTATTGTTAATATGCTATCTAGCCATTATATGTGGAGGCTGTTATTTTTATTTATTTATTTATTTTTTTGGTACATTTAAATGTTGTGGCTTCTTCCCAGTACTCTGTTTCTGTTGAATGATTTTCTTAGGATAAATTCTCAGAAGTAGAGGAGATGGTCAAACTCAAACAGTGTCTGCTATGACTCTTACTGTGTTGCTTTAGTGATTTTTTGACAGGAAACTCATTTTTCTTGCATCGTTAACATTTGCTTTCCCTAAAGATTTATTTAAATTTAAAATTTTTTTATATGTGCTGTTAAAATAACACTATCATTTAATACATTATAAGGACCTAAGCACTCTTCACTTCAACCTCGTGAAAAAAGTCAAGTACATTTTGCTGTACTCCACTCACTTAGTTGTCATTCATAATATTTGTGTATTAAAAGGAAGCCTCATTTTTCTTCCCATAAGCCTTCAGAGAGCTTTCTATAATGTTTTATCTTTTTCAGCAGTTATAAAGTTATCTACTTATGGTAATGGACCTGATTCCCTCTGGTGATATTTTGCTGAGGATTTGCACATCATTCAGTCAACAATATATGCTCAGCATCTACTTTGATAACTACTGTGAGAGAGAGGAAAGTATTTAAGATATATTATTGCCCATGGAATAAATCTATTCAGAAGGGAGCTATCTGAAAAAAAAAAAAAAAAGTTTATAAAAATAAGCAAAAGACTATCAATATGCAAAGTATTATGTATAAGCACCACAACCATTCTGGGGCCAAAGAAGTCTATGGGGACAGAACAGTAAAGGAATTTTGTGTAATAACGAGTGTGAGATTAAATATGTAATGAAGAAATAAATGCACAGGTCTATTTTTTGTTAGGCAGAATGTACTGTTAAGAGTAGCTAAAGCTACTCTTCTGTTTTATATCACCCGCTTTCACAGCTTTCCTAAATGTAAGTAGTAGTCTTTGATTGCTACCCCAGCAACATGGTATAGCCAATCACATTTTGGCAAAGAAAATGGAACATTGAGCCCCTCACTATTTCCAATTCAAACTGAATTTATTCCATGTCAATAATGTAGAACTTGAGAGACCACATCTGTGAACTGTCAGGACTTTTTAGGGTGTGTTTTGGGTGCAGATGTGCTTTGATAATCTTTCCACTGTTGGTATACTGGAATAGGAGACTACCAGCCAGATGCTTGCCCTGAGAGCATTAAGTGCTTAATTAAAGTATGTACATTGGCATTCCTGGCCTGAGTGGAGAAAAGTCTCCAAGTAGGTACTTGCTTTCCTTGCATACCTTTCTATGTATTCTTTCATACTGAATCATATGTTATTTGATACTTCTGTTCATTAAGCTCCTATCTTTTATTTTAGCTCATCTATTAGTGACCCAGTGAGAACCAATGTGTGGTGGAATGTTACCTTTAACTACCTTTGATCTTCACTGAGTGAACTAGTATCGTCTTATCCCATCCTTGAATATCATTTATGCACACAATAATCCTATCTGGTGAATATTCAAATGGGTTTTCTGTGAGAGACCAAGTTGGAAAAAAATGAGAAAAACCTCAGTTTGAACACCAAAAATAAAGGATTTATTTATTTATTTATTTATTTATTAGAAATTATGACTTACTATGGTAGTGCTTCAAACAAGTATACTTGAAACCAAGTTTTTAAAAAAATAGCTGTTATAACAACATTAAACTACAATTAGGATATCAACCAGTGCTTTTGTATTCTCCCAGGTTGTCTGGAAACCTTAGGTCTCCAAATCTTAAAGCCTAAAATGGCAGGAAGAGCTTGCAGAGTTTTATTTTCTTTACAATTCAGTCTTCAGCAACTTGAGAGCTTTCTTCATGTTGTCAAGCACTAGGGGAAAAAATTTAGAGTCATGATGCCACCAGTGATTATATTGATAGAGTTAGTAAATCCTCAAACCTGAGTACTCTCTTTACTGCTTAGGGGTATTTTTTTTTTTTTTCTCTCATAGGATAAACAGTTGATAATCTTGTCAATTTTTTTCTCTAAAATTATACAAAATAACTTTTGTTGCATTCAGGATTATTTCACATATTCATTCTTTTCCAAATCTCCTCCTCCCACTCCAGAATAGTCTCTTCATAAATTCCACTGGCCAAAAATAATTTTGGCTAATTCAGAAGTAAAGTTTTAATCACTATCATGATAAGAAATATTTGTTAGTTGTTTGTAGCTACTACAGCCTTATTTTGGAAGTCGGTGGAATGTAAGTTACAAATAATAGCAAATCAAGTGCTTTATGCATATGAATTCATTTAATACAAAACTACTAGAACTTCATGTTATACATGATGATACAAGCACAGAGAATTTGAGTAGCTTGCTTTTGATAACACAGGTAATAAATGTGGAGTTACTGCTTAAGGCCAAAATACTAAATCACTATTCTGGCTGTAGCAAAACATGAAAATGACATATATGATTATTAAAATAAGATTCCATGTGATGGAAAGACACTGACCAACTGCTTATTCATTCCTTCTATAAATATTTATTGAGTGTTTATTCTCAAGGTAGTACCTGTGCAAGATACTTGATTTTAAAAAGTCCAAAGTCTTACCAAGACATTTGTTATCTAAAAAAATGGAAAATACTTGGAGTGTGGTACTTAGCACCCCTTGTAGACTTTACTAATGGACCTTGATAATCTTTTCTTCTGCCCAGACATGACCTTGCAATCCTTCCCAACACAATGTTGTAGGTCTGTGCTGCTCAATAGAAATTTCTGGAAAGATGGAAATAACCAGTGTCTGTGTTAGTGAGCACTTGAAATGTGGCTAGTATGACTGAGGAACTACATTTTTTTTTTAACTGGAAATAGCCACACGTGGCTAATGGTTTCCATATTATCACAGTTCTAGACAGCCACTACCACTAACTGATTGGAATTTCTCCCAAGTTTCTCCCCAAGAGGGCTAATTAGATTTTATATTTAGGTACTTGTCTGCCTTAAGTCTCCAATTTTTTTCTCCAGTAGTTTAGTGCTTAGCTGATAATGGAAAGGTTGGTGGTTTGAACCCACCTGCCGCTCCATGGGAGAAAGATGTGGCAGTCTACTTCCTTAAAGATTTACAACTTTGGAAACCTCTGGAGAAGTTCGATGTTTTATAGAGTCTATGTGTCAGAATCAACTCTATGGTGTTGGTTTGGTATGCTTATGTCAGAGAAAGTGAGTGGGCGATTAGTTAGATGCTTTTTTCCTACTGATTTTGAACATTAAACTTGAACTCAACTACAACAAGCTAGTTAGTTATTATTTCACTTTTGCTGGTTGGGAAAAGAGCCAGCATATAGACTACAACTATTGCACTCAATTGTGGTAGAAGGAATTCTGTTACTGTGTCTAAGAGAACGCTTGAAAAAAAGCAGCTAATGTTAAGATAATAATACAAATAATTCATCTTCAATTGAGATAAAACCAATGGAGAGTGAGTGTGATTTGCCCAAGGACACAGGCTTCTTAGGGTCAAACTGATTGATTGTCTGGTGTCCCAGAGTGGAACTTTTTCCCACCTTCCTCTGCAGCCACCAATCCCATTACTACAGAAATAGAAACATTCAAAAGAGGTAAACTCACATAGTGCTGCATCTGAAGGCTCATAAGCATAGAGACGATTTGAGTATCTCCCAGTGATGTCAGCTCTAACTGTCAGGGATGGATCTGCAAAGAAAGTGCAAAAAGAAATGGAATATTTTGTTCCTAAAACCAAAATAAAACACCAAACTCACTGCCTTCAAGTAGACCAACCTCATAGTGCCACCTCCTTGGGTTTCCAAGGCAGTATCTCTTTGGAAGTAGATTGCCCAGACTTCTTTCCCAGGAGTGGCTGGTCGTTGGAACCACCAGCCTTCTGGTTAGCAGTTAAATGCTTTAGGCACTACACCACCAGAGCTCCATAATGCATAATAAAATTTACATACCCTTGTCCTGTGAGAGGAATACTGCATGTCCCCTTGGTCAAGTTCTACTTCATACCTTCTGCTCCCTTGCCAACACATGCACTAGGTAAAGCAGTCTGAGAAAACACTCAACAGCTGCACAGTGCTATTTGTGGAAAATGTTGTGAACCCTGCTGTTCTACATATCGCAACCTGACAGCAGAATAATATGTATGGGGGGGCAGTTTGTTTTTTTGGTGAAAATCTTGGCATACACAACTGCAGAATTATTTTAAATTCTTAATGGGATTATGTTGTAGTTGAAATGTGTAACCAACAGCAACCTAGATGATTAGGTATATATATCCAATGCTGGTTTTCAAAACAGAAGACTCTGTTAATGATAAAAGAATGCAAGCCATTAAAGAACATCAAAGATCAAATAATAATGGACTGTCCCTGTTTATTTTTTACTTCATAGTTAACTGGCTGCATTTAAAGAATAGAGACTTAAGTGCCTTCTCTTATATCTCTCATTTTAAATCCATTTTTTCATGTTTTTTGTTTATCAAATTACTGAGAAGAAAAAAAATTTTAAAAATAAGGTGGATTTAAAAGGAAGGTGTCTAAAAACTGTTTTTGAGAGAGATGATTGAAGGATCCTAAGACATATGTCCTGGAAATGAGATGAAAACGTGAGAACCATCCGCAACTACTTCCATAGTGACACTGCCTTGGAAACCCAAGGAGGGGTCGCTATGAGTCAGGTCCGACTTGACGGCACATAATAACAACAACAACATCACTATGGAAGTAGATTGCCCAACCTTACTTCTGAGGAGTTCAGACCCTCAGCCTTCTGGTTAGCAGTCAAATGCCTTAGGCACTACGTTACCAGAGCTCCCTGGAAGTATCTATTGTGAGTTAAAATGGTCTCTGACAGGGATACTATAAAAAGAATTCTTGCACACGATGTAATCAAATGATCTCTAAAGTTCTTTTTAATTTAAGAATTCTAATTGCTTTAAAGGAGTACCTGGATGGTGCAAATGGTTAACACACTCAGCTGCAAACCAAAAGGTTGGAGGTTCAGATACACCCCAAGGCACTTTGGAAGAAAGGCCTGAAGATCTAAATCAGTCATGGAAACTCCTAGAGCCCACAGCACTACTCTGACACATAGAGTTGCCATGAGTCAGAATCGACTCGACATTACCTGATTACTGGTTAAATGTTCTAAATCTTGACAAATCTAAACACACAAATTCAGTGCTTTAGTTCAGCCTTCTTCCTTTTTCCCTTTTCACTTGCTTTTCTTGCCCATGGTTATACATTTAAACTTTGGTGAATTATATAGATGAACTATTTGACTAGCTTGAGTTCTACTATGTGATAAGTTATTGATTGTCCTTAATAATAAGTATGACTTTTACCAAAGCCAAACTCGATTTTTTCATTCAGTCATTCAACCAATATAGAGAGGTTACCTTACTACAGGGAATACGATGTTGTTGTTGTTATGTGCCGTTGAGTCGGCCCCTACTAATAGCGACCCCTCCTTGGGTTTCCGAGGCAGTATCACTACGGAAGTAGGATTGCCCAACCTTCCTTCCGAGGAGTGGCTGGTGGGTTTGAACCGCCATCCATCTGGTTAGCAGGCAAGTGTCTTAGCCACTATGCTACCAGAGCTCCCAGGGAATATGATAGTGAGCAGAAAAAGTTATGGTCCCTGACCTTATATTCCCATGAATATAATAAATCTAAAATATTTAGTAATTACTTAACAAATGCAAAATTATAAGTGAGGAAGAGCTTATACGAAACAACATGGGGCTACAAGAGCAGATTGTGGGGATTGGATTGGATCAGTGAACGACAGTGATGATAGAAATGACTGCAACTTGGAAGAAGTGGAGAGAAAAGCAGGAAACAATGAATGGAAAGTATCAGAAGCAGGAAGGAGCATGAGTCCTTTGATTTTATCCACTTCCCCACCTCCAGATCATATTCCTAACTTTCCTAAAAGTGCTTATCAAAAATGTCAGGAAGAAATTCAGACACATAAATTGAAACTTTGCTTGATTAAATATTTATAGGCCTACTATGTTCAGGAAAATAATCATTACATTTAAAAGATCTAACAAGATTCTTCCTTCTTAAATGTATTTGTGGCAGGAATTGAAGAACATAATTAGCAGATGAGAAAAAAAGTCATCCATGAAAATAGAAGAATGAAAATATGTGTGAAATTTAAAGAATTAGTGAACTCTTTACTAGAACTAAGTAGTTACATTGGCCATGGTGGGGGCAGTGGGTGGGAGTGGGAGAGGAAAAGGAAGTGATATGGCAGTGCTTGTGTACCTTGAGGATGTGTTTCATCTCACTCATTTCCACTTACCCACAAACATGATCCTGGGTACATATTGGCCATCAGGGGAGAGGTGCTTGTCAGTTGTTTCATACTAAAAAAACAAAAACAACAACAACAAAAAACTTTTAGTTTGTTTACTCTTTAGTTATTTTCAAACTTGGTAATCCAAAAATATGCATCTAATCCTGGGCCAGGCACCTTAAGATACCTTAAGACATATCTCTTCCACAGAGAATTTATAACATAGACAAGTTACACGCATGAAATAAGACTGGAGAATGTGAGGTAAAGAGCTGAATGTATGTTGCAATGAACAAAAAGTTCAAGAAGGGAGAGTTTGGAAGGAACTATATGGTGTTTGTAAGGAGTCCTGGTGGAGCAGTGTTTAAGTGCTCAGCTGCTAACAGGTTGGTGGTTCAAAAGATGTGGCAGTCTGGTCCCATGAACATTTACAGCCTTGGAAACCCTATGGGGCAGTTCTACTCTGTCCTAAAGTGTTGCTGTGAGTTGAAATTTTCCTTGACCTCAACGGGTTTTGGTTTTACAGTGTTTGGGGAAGACATCAGATGAGGGAGGAATGAGATAGATTAATGAAAAAAGGAGAAGTCAGTTTGGAGAAATTACAATAATAGGATTATCTTGAACATTCAGCTATCCATTTATCAATTCTTTATCATTTAAAAAATTTAGTTAGCAAGATACAGTGCTTATCTTTAGTGAATGCATCCTCTATTGGAAGATTGTTGTTGTCTGCCCTCCTTGGGTTTCCGAGGCAGTATCACTACGGAAGTAGGATTGCCCAACCTTCCTTCCGAGGAGTGGCTGGTGGATTTGAACCGCCAGCCTTCTGGTTAGCAGTCAAGTGCCTTAGCCACTATGCTACCAGAGCTAATAGAAGATACAGGCAGGAAAATCAACATTGAGGATCTGTGGGTGGAATGTATAATAAAGGATATGTAGGTGTAGTGGGTGCCCAGAACAGGGCATTTGACCTAGTCTGTCGGTTCCAGTAGCAATTTCTGAAGTGGGTAAAAGAAATTGGTAAACAATAGAGATCAGTTATGGCAGGGCAAAGGCTACTCCAGGAAGGGGAAGAGCATGCTGTTAAGCACAGAGAAGGACCAAGTGCTTGGGAAGAACTGGGGTGAAGGGGTGTATGAGGGTAGTGGCAAGAGAAGTACTGGAGAGCTGCTTGGTGAGAGAAGATATTGGAGAGCTGCTTCAGGGGCTGGCTCATGAATGACCTTGCACACTCTGCCACAGGTTTTCATTTGTTCATAAACAGAGTCACCAAAGGAACATTAGAACAGGTAGTATGATTCCAACTCTGCCTGTACAGTATTTACTCTTTACAGTAATCCTTACAACTATATAGTGATTATATGGGGTTTATCTTGAAGACAAGGAGCCATTTAGTAATATTGCACACAGTAAACTAGGCAAAAGTGAAAATGTCTTACATTAAAATGGTGGTTCTGGGTTTATAAGGGCCAATAGAAAGGATATTTAGAAGTTAGAAGCACAGGACTTCTTGACTGATTGGCCATGGAGGTGAATAGAAGAGTCTCTGGTAGCATAGTGCCTAAGGCACTTGACTGCTAACCAGAAGGCTGGCAGTTCAAACCCACCAGCCACTCCTCAGAAGGAAGATGGGGCAATCTGCTTCCATAGTGACACTGCCTGGGAAAGCCAAGGAGGGGTCGCTATGAGTCAGGTCTGACTCAACGGCATATAACAACAACAACAGCAATCTAGAATAGGGTCACTTTTAGTGAGGCAGGGAATAGAGAAAGAAGAGCCTGGAGCAAGGTGATATATTTAGTGTCAAAGATGTTGAGTTTAAGCTAACTCAATATCTAAAACACAGTTAAGGAGCTCTGGTGGCATAGTGCCTAAGGCATTTGATTGCTAACCAGAAGGTTGGTGGTTCAAACCCACTAGCCAGTCCTCAGAAGGAAGACTGGGCAATCTACTTCTGTAAAGATTTACCTCCTCAAAAACCCAAAAGGGGTCACTATGAGTTGGAATCGACTCAATGGCAGTGAGTTTGGTTCTTTGGTTTGGAACATGGTTGAGTATACTGATTAGACGTTGTTCAGTGTTTGACTAAGATGTGGGAGTTATCAGTGTATAGGTATTGATTAAACGTGGGTGTATATTTGGTTTTGTTTTTTAATACGTAAAGCTGTCCATGTTATTGTTGTTATGTGCTGTTGAGTCGGACCCGACTCATAGCGACCCCTCCTTGGGTTTCCGAGGCAGTTTCACTGTGGCAGTAGATTGTGCCATCTTCCTTCCGAGGAGTGACTGGTGAGTTTGAACTGCCAGCCTTATATAGAGAACATAAATTACAATAAGAGAAGTACATCAAGGATAGAGTCTCCAAGCCATTAACATCACACGGAGGAAAGAGGAAGAGCCTGTGGAAAGAAGGTAAGAAAGAACCACCAACCTGTGAGGAGGAAGAGACAGAAACAGAGGGAAGGAGAGAGGGAAAAGAGAACACAAGGTTAGGTAGAGTTGTATGTTGTTTGTTTTCTTGTTTGCTTTTACAAGTAGACCTGGTTTTATATTGAGTAGAAAAAATTTGCAAAGAAAGCTTGAAAATCAGTTATGGCTATATATGTGCAGCCAGAGAGCTGGAGAGAAGAGACAAGGACTGAAAATGGGTTTGGAGCAGCAAGGAGTGTAGGAGGGGCACAGGACATTTTTGTATATGCAATAATTTGCAAAATACAAAACCTTTCAATTGTTACAGCAATAAAGAAAATCCTGATCACAGGAGTATTTTTCAGACAACCTAAAATGATTAATTACTAAATAAAAACATGGACATGCAAAGGTAAAATATCTTCTGTCTTTCCAGTCTCTGAGATGGCATATCTGGAACTGGGATGGGATATCATTAACTGGATCCAAGTTAATGCAATATGACTAAGACATATAGAAAAAAATGAAATGGAATCATCCATTTCAGATAATGAGGCATGGAGAAATGTTAGTGATAATGAAAAGTAAACTTACCACTAGGTTGAGGAGGACAAACTGCTCTGCCAATTTCTGGATATCTTTATTTTCCGCAAACACTTTCTTTAAAGCTATGGTAAAAAGAAAAAATATTGTTCTCTATTATATGTTAAGTTGAACTGTATTTTAGTATGATATTCTACTTTGCCCTTTCAGGGTATGGTCAGTAAAATAATATCTACATCACTGACTATCTTTGCTTTTTTTTTTTTTGCATTCATTCATTCATTTATTTATCTGCTTACGTTTTTTTAGTCCATATTTACTGAGTGGCTACTATGTGTTACGTACTGTTCTGTGTACTGGGGATTGAGTGAAAAACAAAAACCAACAATGTGCTTTTTCACAGAACTGAAATACTTGTGTGGGAGACAGACCATAAAAAAAAAACAAAATCCACTGCTGTGGAGTCAATTCTGACTCATAGTGACCCTATAAGACAGAATAGAGTTGCCCCACAGGGTTTCTAAGGCTGTAAATTTTTACAGAAGCAGACTGTTTTATCTTTCTTTTCACAAAGTGGCTGGTGGGTTTAAACCTCCAACTTTTTGGTTAGCAGCCAAATGCTTTTAACTATCATGCGAACAGAGTTCCTATGACCATAAATAAGTAAGTAAAAGAAAAAAAAATAGGTTGGAGATACGTACTCTGAAGAAAAATAAAACAATAAGAGTTTCGAATCTGAGAAAGGGAGGAGGTGACATTCAGTGAGGGAGTGATCCATTCTAAGATTTAGGCAGTTGGTCACTTTACACACAGGGAACTGTAAGTACAAGAGGCCTGAGGTAGGAATAAGCTTGGATATTTGAGGAACAGCATGAAGGCTAGGCTAAGTGAAGCAGAGAGAGCAAGGGGAGAGAAGTAGGGATGGAAGGATAGCCGGGGGCAGATCATGCAGAGCCTTATGGGCCCTGGCCAGGAATTTGGATTTAATTTTACCTGTGATGAGAAGCCACTTGAGCATGTGAGTGGTAGAACTGGATTTATGTTTAACAGCCTCACTTGGGGTTCTGTGTAGAGAATCTGACTATAGGGAAACCACTTAGGTGGCCATTACAGTATTCTAGGCAAGATGTGATATTGGCTTCTACCAGGGCAGTAGCAAGAGGCAATAGTGACTGAGTGTGGACAAGACCAGCTACATGATATACAGGGCCTAGTGCACACTGAAAATGTGAGCCCCTTGTGCAAAAGTTATTAGTAATTTTCAAGGCAGTAAAAGCAGACTATTAAAATAAGTGTGAGGCCTTTCTAAATGTAGGGACCTTAGGTGGTCTTGGGAGCTCTGGTGGCATAGTGCCTAAGGCATTTGACTGCTAACCAAAAGGCTGGCAGTTCAAACCCACCAGCCACTCCTCAGAAGGAAGACTGGGCAATCTGCTTCCATAGAGATACTGTCTCAGAAAGCTATGAGTCGGGATCTACTTGATGGCAGTGAGGTTTTTTTTTTTTTTTTTAGGTGGTCCTGGATTTAGCATGTATTTTAAAGGTATTTGCAACAGGATTTGCTGAGTACTGGATGTGGAATATAAAGAGTATGTATGTATGTGTGTGTATAAAGAGAAAGAGTGAGAGAAAGAGAGAGAGCTTAAGGATAAACCTTGAAGGTAGTTTTTCAAACTATGCACAAATGGTTAATAAAAAAAAATCATGGAAATGTCTGAAATAACCAATAAAATATTCTTTCCTGTTTAGCTGAGCTAAGTGTTAAGGATAAAAAATGAGTGATCAGAACTCTGCCTCTAAATCTAAAAACCTATAAAAAAATAATATTTTGAAGAAGAAATTACCTTGACTGTGTGGGCATTCATCCAAGTGATGAATAATCATCAAGGGTTTGTTGCTTTAAGAAACAAAGAGATTGAATTATTTTTAATGACAGGATTTCATGTATAGCTAAATATCACTAGGTGGTGCTCTCGAGAGCTTTGCCATGCATTCTGTGTAACTGCTGTCTTTACCTTGTTTTGGATTTGTATAAAGCTTCTTCGTATGTCTGCGTCCAGATGAGCTGATCACCCCAACCTGGAATGAAATGAACCAGCATATTCAAAGCTATTACGATCTCAGAGCTAAAGCTGTTGAAAAATAGAGGTAAAACCTGGGGTAAATACACACTTGCTATTAAAGAAGAAATACCTCTGGAGGAAGTAGAAATAGATATAAAAACAAAAAACCAAAACCAAACTCACTGCTGTCAAGTCGGATCCGATTCATAGCAACCCCTCCTTGGATTTCCTAGGCAGTATCACTATGGAAATAGATTGCCCAATCTTCCTTCTGAGGAGTGGGCTGGAACTGCCAGCCTTCTGGTTAGCAGTCAAATGCCTTAGGCACTATGCCACTAGAACTTTAGAAATAGATATAAACTATGATAAATCTAGAAGGAGACATACCAAAGCATATTCATCACACAAGTCTCAGTAACAAGAGAAAGGTCATTTTCCCAAGTAAGCAGCAGCTGGAAACCAACAAGAGGCTGATGCCTACCTCTGGAGAGGGTCTGAGGCAGTTTGGGTTGGGAGTCTTTTGTGTCCTTTTTAGCTCCAGGTTTGACTGTGGTATCCTTGGCCAGAGTATAAGAGAGAGCCACAAGGAGCAAGAACGCCGACACTGATATCTTCTCCATGGCAACTCTGAAATGGAAAAAAAAACAAATGAATAAAAAGTCAATAATAAAAATAAAATGCATTAGTCATCTTCAGTGTCTTCAGATTATATCACAACAGTGGGATACAACAGGAACTGAGGCTCTACTGAGATTGAGTACATGTGCTTGGAGTGAAAAGTTACCTTCCAAAAGTTTTTTTCTAAGATTATGCAATTAGTGTGTCTGTCTGTCTCTCTGTCTGCCTATTCATCTCTAAATAGACATAGATCCATAGGATATAGGTATGAAGATATACATTTACACAGAGGTAGATCTCTTTACAGCTACACATTTATACATAAATTATATATATATGTGTGTGTGTGTGTGTGTGTGTGTGTGTCTGTGTGTCTGTGTGTATGTACATAAGTATGTATATATGTCCCCTGTGAAAGTTGGAACCTATAGAAGGCACAAAACTGTCAGAGAAGAAAAAGTCTATTTTCAACAAAAACGCTCTATAGAAAAGTGGTAAGGCTGCACCCTATCAAAGGCAGAAGACCAATGTGAGACCTGGACAAATCAAGTTCCAGTTGTCATAGGTTTTACTGTATATGTATATACACTTATAAGGAGCTCTGGTGGCATAGTGGGTAAGACATTTGGCTGCTAACCAGAATGTCAGCAGTTCAAACCCACCAGCTTCTCTGCAGGAGGAAGATGAGGCACTCTACCTCTGTGAAGATTTACAGACTTGGAAACCAAATGGGGGTCACTATGAGTTGGAATCAACTCAATGGCAGTGGGTTTTGTTTGGTTTTTTATATACACTTATTGCTAAGGGAACTTATATTTGAATATTATATTTAAAAATATAGTTCTTGAAGGCACTTTAAGGATTACCTCCTCTTTCCCACATCCCCAATGCCTCATTTTATACAGAATCTGAACCTCAGAGAGAGAGAAACAAAAAGGACTTATGAAATGGGCCCAGAACAAAGGCTTCTGTGTCTTGCCACTTTGCAGTGCTTGTTCCCATCTTCTCACCCTGAAATAACAACCCTAAACATACATACTTCTTTAATTTTCAGTTAGGATGGAGACATTGCATTAAAGAATGAGCACTGAGTAAAACTATTGCCTATTTTATTTAGAACCTGCCAGCTTTGTCACTTAACTGATGACTTGTACCACATAATTCTCTCCTTAAAAACCAAAAACCCACTGCTGTTGAGTTGATTATGATTCATAGCGACCCCATTGGGTTTCCAAGGCAGTAAATCTCTATGGAAGTAAATTGCCCAAACTTCCTTCTGAGGAGTGACTGGTGGGTTTGAACCTCCAGCCTTCTGGTTAGCAGTCAAATGGCTTAGGCACTACACCACCAGAGGCACTATGGTTGCCACCAGAGCTCCTTAATTCTCTCCTTAGTGTATGAAAATTCTATATTAGCTCTGAAACGAGTAGACTACATCAATGCAAGTTCCTTTCAGTGATAAAATTCTTTGGCTCTCTATCTGCGTCTGCATGGGTAGGTGGCTGTGGGCATGTACTTCAATGTACAAAAATGTTCTATGCCACTTATAACAGAAAAACAAATCCCATGGTATCTCTTTGTTAAATTCTTGTTTTCCTTTCCAGTACTCCGTAGTTAATTCTTAGGAAAAGTTATACTCTTGCTGAGGCAAAAGCCTATGAACAGAAAAGTGAATGGCAAGAGAAGATCCATGATGAGTGAAGGAGTGAGCTAACTAGCAATGTGAATTGCATCAACAAGCCAGTAAGGTTATTCAGAAGCCATAAAATTTAAGGCTGGGGACAGGACTCTGGTAAAGCCAAAGACTGAAATCACTTAAACAGAATTATGAAACGATAGCCATTTATCTCTCATATTGGTGTTTTGAATGAAATTACACAATCTTTGCAAAGAAAGCCCAATGGACTATCATTTCTTATTGTTTGAAAGGCAGAAGATTTCTCATAATCTGATAGCGTGAATGGGAACCTTTGCTAAACTCTAGATGATTTAAAAAAAAAACCTTGCTAAATTATCAAATCCAGATGATACGCAATGCAACGCAATGCACTGCCATGGAGTCGGATCCGACTCATCGCGACCCCTTCTTGGGTTTCTGAGGCATTATCACTATGCAAGTAGATTACCCGACCTTCCTTCTGAGGAGTGACTGGTGGGTTTGAACCGCCAGCCTTTTGGTTAGCAGTCAAATGCCTCAGGCACTATGCTACCAGAGCTCCCAACCCAGATGATAGTCAGTATTAAACTGACCAGTTATCATTATCATATATACAGCCACAAAATATTTTACTTAAAAAAATGTAAAACAAAAAGTAGGGAGATACTTTATTTACTGTATCTATAAAAGACGGAAGATGGAGAAATACCAATAACATTTTTGTTTCCTGGCATTCTGTAGGGAATGCCTGATTGTACAATGGTTAGCATTCAGTGGCTAACTGAAAAGTAGGCTGTCTAGATCTACCCAGTGATCTGCTCCCATAAAGATAGCCCAAAAAACTCTATGGGACAGTTCTACTCTGTCACATGGAGTCACCCTGAGTTGAAATCATCTAGATGGCATCTAATAACAAATACGACATTCTGCAGAAACAACTCACATGTGCTACAAGTTAACCTTATCCATCCTTCTGAATATGCAGATTTCTTTTTAATGTTAAAAAACAAAACAAAACAAGAACTTCTCTGTGAAAGTAATTGTACTTTTGGAATATTAATTGAATCAGAAATACATCATGGCAAATTAGCAGCTTTGAATTTATCAATCAATGTTTATCCACATTTAGTTTTTGTGTTTATAAAATAATAGCACATATATACTATATATATTAAAAAAAAATAGTAAATTGATGGTAAAGGATTTTATTTATTTAGTCCACTGACAGTTCTTGCTGTGTAAGTGGCTATTAGGACCCACCCCTTACAATAACTCAATAGCTTTCAGGTTGGAACTATTGATATAATGCACGTGTTTTATGGCAGGATGACTCAAACTCCTAATATAACTCCTGCTGTACAAACATCCTGCTCTAGGGTAACTTTCTGAGATTCTGTCTCCCGCCTTTTCATGATCTGAATAGACTCTGCTCTGCAAACTTCCTGCATAAACCCTCTCAGAACAGGATGCTAACAGTGGAAGATACGGCTAATTCACAGACATGCACCCTCTGAAACCAGCATTTTCGCTGGTCACTCTATCCCTGGTGTTCTTGTCTTTAGCAAGGAGTGAACTTGCAGGAAGTTTTGGTGTTCCTGTTCACAAATGCTTCAGGAAGGCAATCAGCTCTCTCCTGTAACAGACTGTCCTGTGAATTGCAAGATTGAAGAGCACAAGAATATCTTTATATCAGACAGAGAAAGAAGATTGTTTTCTGGTTAGCAATAATACATTTCAAGCAGACAATTGAGCTGCATTTTCACAGTTGAGGAGCCTGTGGACTTTGGTTTTATCCAATGGGAGAGAAGCAGAGCTTTTGATGATGACTCAGGAAATCCCTGGGTGAGCTGGCATTTTCCCGGGCTTGCAAACTCACCTACCTTTAGATCTCTTTTCCTAAAGAGGAGCTATTACATTGAACCAGCTCAGAACGGTAATACCTTGTCAGCTCAAACCCCTCAACCTGCCCCCCCACCACACACACACACAAGAAAAAGGCCTCAAGAAAGCCTTTGGTGGGAATTGCATTCTGCACTCTCTACGTTCCACTTTATGGCCCTTAGAACTACCTCACTCTTCTCCGCTTGTTGATTGCCTGCAACTTTGCCTAACAGTCAGAGGCCAAACCCATTCTAGCAAGTGCCCTTCCAGAGCTATTGTAAGGAGCCTTACCTGGATTTCCCCACCCACCTACCTTTTGTGAGCCGGCCAGGAAGCGGTCCAAGCTTCAGACTGTGCCAGTGCAGCCTGGGCCTCTATTTATGCTCCAGAGCACACACCTCAATCCCACCCACTTTATCTGTATTTACCTGTTGCTAACTCAGAAACTTTCCTTTTCCCAAATGGTTGTCTTCCCCGGGCTAAAGAATTTTTTGTTTTGAAAATTATGTTGCAAAAAGCATGTTTTTGTGCATATATGTTTTTCACCTGTTCGTAAAAACACATTGTAAAGAGATTTGAAAAAGATGGGCAGAATGCCAAATTCAGATAATCTTTAAATGAAGACATTTGATTTGCCTGAAGGCTGACCTGTCTTTACCTGATTGGATGGGGTGTGTGGTTTGTAGGTTTTTTTTTTTTTTTCCCTTCCCCTTTGGCAGATTGGGAGCTCTGGTGGAGTAGTGCTTAAGGCATTTGACTGCTAACCAGAAGGCTGGCAGTACAAACCCACCAACCACTCCTCAGAAGGAAGGTTGGGCAATCTATTTCCGTAGTGATACTGCCTTGTAAACCCAAGGAGGGGTGTCTATGAGTCGGATCTGACTAGGTGGCAGTGAGGTTTTTTTTTTTTTTTTTTTTTTTGGTTTGGCAGATTGGCTTTACTTAGCTGAAAACACATATGAGATGGTTTACCATTCTAACCATTACAGTGATATAACCTGCAATACTCCACTAGGGTCTAGGGTCACTAGGGTACAACTTATTTTCCACGATACACTTCTCTCTTTCTGGCAAACAAAATATATTCTCACTTTATAGATTATTATTATTATTAATTTAGTACCACATACTATTTCACAACTGAAGAAATTACTGAAAAAAAGACACCCTGAAACTATGTTGTTGTTGTTGTTGTTAAGTGCCGTCGAGTCGTTTCCGACTCATAGCGACCCCATGCACAGCAGAACAAAACACTGCCTGATCCCGCGCCAGCCCCACAATCCCTGCTATACTTGAGCCCATCATCGCAGCCACCGTGTCAATCCATCTCGTTGAAGGCCACCCCCTCTTTTGTCGACCCTCCACCTAAAACTATGAGTCCATAATAATTACCATTGAATACATGCAGGAACTTCCCTCTAAAGAGTTCAAAGACATTTCACACATATTTTCTCATTTAATGGCAAATTTTCCTGTTAGCTATGCAGGAAGACATCTACCTATTTTTCAGACCTAGAATTGAAAGTCTGCAACTATTTTTTTCACTCAAGAGGATGCAATCAATCACTAAGGACTTACAGACTGCAGCTCATATTTTCACGGATACTCCTGCAATTCTGTCTTGTTCATGAAGCTATATGGAATCCTTAGCAGTTTAGAATGATGAGATGTAAAACAACAGAAAATTGTTTAATGAAATACAAGCTCTATAAAAGTAACTTTTTAAAATGAGTTAAGATTATAATATTTCAAGATGTTTTGATATCTATTGTTTTAAATAGAGCCTTAAATTCTGTGGGCAAAACAATGATTTATCAAGTACTGAATTTTCTTTTAATGCTAAATGGATTTGCAGAAATAATTTCTTAAGAGTTTGACTGAAAACGATTTGAGCTAACGTCTTAAAACTGGAGAGGTCTGTCTATAGACTTTTAGTCTAATTAATCAGCCCTTAGAGTACTCAATATAACAACTTCAATTTGCACATAAAGAAGTGAACATGTCAAAAGAATTAAATGACTTGTCAAAGGTCCCATGACTAGTTTGAAGCAGTGTATGTACCAAAGACCTGGTCTCCTCTTGTCATCAGCTGTGAATGGAACATGGATGGGATTTGGGACCAAAAGTTTCCAGGCTGAGTCCTGCTACCTGTTGCTCATCATTGATGATATCAGAGACATCATTTAACACCTCTGAAACTTTAGTTTCCTTATCCATAAAACAGGAATAGGATCACACACAGCTGTTCTATTAAATGAATTAAGGAATGGGAAGATTCTTGGCAATTACAAACATCTCTGGTCATTATAGTTAATTATAAAGATATAATGATTTTCTCATGGTGCTGCCTGTGTCTAATCGCATGACCTTAAAATCCCAGTATGGGTCATAGTGGCTAATATATACTGAGAAGGCAGTAACTATAGAAATGATTAGGCACAGACCATGGCTACTTGGCTGCTTTGGCACTCTGGTCTTGGTGTGAGGCAACCAGGGTTTAGTGGATGATATGAGTATGCCTTGAGATTGGTGGAGGAGGAATTTTTCTTACATGTCATCAAACTTCATTACTTTCAACAGTGATGTTATATTATCAGTCTATGGGATTTGCTTGATTTTGTAGGAATCTGTTGCAATTATGTAGATAATTATGATTCCCTATTTCCCTAGTGGGAGCTCTGGTAGCATAGTGCCTAAGGCATTTGACTGCTAACCAGAAGGCTGGTGGTTCAAACCCACCAGCCACTCCTCCGAAGGAAGATGGGGCAGTCTACTTCCGTAGTGATACTACCTCGGAAACCCAAAGAGGGGTCACTATGATTCGGGTCCAACTTGATGGCACATAACAACAACAACAACATTCCCCTAGTAGAACTTGGTGATAAAAAATAATGTTTGATGAGCAAAACTAAACTTGATGCCAATGCCCTGAACAATGGATCTATTTAATGGATTGTTGTTGTTGTTGTTATGTGCCGTCGAGTCGGCCCCGACTCATAGCGACCCCTCCTTGGGTTTCCGAGGCAGTATCACTACGGAAGTAGGATTGCCCAACCTTCCTTCCGAGGAGTGGCTGGTGGGTTTGAACCGCCAGCCATCTGGTTAGCAGGCAAGTGTCTTAGCCACTATGCTACCAGAGCTCCCATTTAATGGATTAAGTGGATTTAAAACTTTTGTATTTTAGACATTTGTGTCATTTATAGTGTTAGAATCTTTTATTCAAACAGACTTTTAAGTATGTTATTTTGTATTTTTGAGTAAAATTTGGAGACTTATAGTAATAACTAACATTTATTGAGCAACCAGTGTTCACTAGGTACTCAACTAAATACTCAAATAAATAAAATTAATTTCTTCAGCAAATATTTATTGAACCTATTTTTGTAGCAAATATATCAAGTCTTAAAGATATAAAGATAAAAAAAAGATGTGGTCAGTTGTTGAGGTAGCCACACATAAGAAGATAATTGAACTGTGGGAAAAACACAAATAAGTTTAGGGCATTGTTCCTGTCATAAGGTTGCTTAAAATTGGATTGCAGAATTAACTTAGAATTAAGTCAATCAATCAGTCAATCATGTTTTGTCATACAGGAAGAGTTTTTTTGCATTTGAGTTTATTCTAAATGTTTTAGAAGGGCTTTTGTGCATGGAAATAATTGTTTCCAGCTTCATGGGGTTTAGCTGATATTCAGTACATTAAAGTTGAGACTTTAAAAATGAAAAATTAACCATCCACTTGAGACTAACATGCCATAAGGGACAGGCAAGTAGTATAGACATCAGGTGTTATTATATTTCAGACAAGGTAGGGATTACTATCCAGTGGAATGAATGAGTCAGAATTGACTCGATGGCAACTAGATAGAATGCTCACATCAGTTGTAGAAAGCAAGATTTCCAGAAGGCCACAGTGATACAGAATTTGCAAAATGTGTTTGTGGAATATTGTAATGGCCTCATTTATTGCGTAGAGATTCATCTGGGTAGTTCATAGACAAATGATTTAGAAAAGTGTTTAGGGGCTATTTGTCTTGGGCCTTGAATACAAATTTAAGGAATTTAAACTTCACCATCAAGAGGAAGTGCTGTGTGGTGGATAAGAGGGGAAGCTATAGATTCAGATTGCTTTCAGTTCGAATCTAGTTTCATGACAATTATATACTCTACCACCCCAGGCAAGTTACTTAACTTCTCTGTGCTTTAGTTGTCTCACTTTTCAAATAGGGATAGTAAGACTTACTTTCTTGGGACTATGGTAGGATTATATAAGATAATATAGGTAAAGTGCTTACAATGGTACATAGCACATAGTAAGCATTCAAAAATTATTTATTACAATTACAGGTTATATCATTTTTGCTTCTTTATATTACCAGCATTTAGCTCTCAGTCAATTAGCTCCATGACAGTAGAATCTTTCATGGATTCCTCTTTGATTAAAGCCTATTATAAGGCTTAAACTTGCAACACATATTTACTAAAAGTAACATAACAATCTCACCAGATTCATTATTTTCTTTTAAAAATGAACTCAGATGAGTGTACATAATTAGCCCAAACTTGAAAAGCTGGTAAGAGTAGAGAGAGGACCTAAAGATTTCCAATAATTGCTGATAATTAATCCAATATTCTTTTCAGTCTACCAAATTGCCCTTTGATGTCAGGAAGTAATGTGATAACCCTGTAAGTGAATGTAATCTCACAGAGCTGGAAAATGTGAATAACTTTTTGTCCTTAAGACGTATGCCTCTAAAAGGAACTCTTTAAAACATATATCAAACTGTAAATCAAGTTGTTGAATAAAAAAGCTCGCCCCAAACTCTATCTCAGAGAAACAGATACATATGAAAAAGATACTTGATGACGGAGGATATTTCTATATATGTGTTTATTTACTTATGCTGTGAATTTATCCATGAATATAATAGAGCACACAGGGGGCAAAATTATGAAAACTTCTTAGCTATAACCAAACACCTTGAGAGAATGTCATTGGTCCTGGGGGTGCAGGACCATAGTGAGGACACCAAGTTTAATTGATGTTACATAGTCCACAAAAACAACGTTCTCCATCTTACCTTGGTGAGTAGCAACTGGAGTCTTAAAAGCTTCTGAGTGACCGTTTAAGGTACAACTATTCTCCCTGTCCAGAGGAAAAAAGAGTGAAGAAAATCAAAGCACAAGGAAACAATTAGTCCAAAGGACTAATGGACCACATGAACCCTAGCCTCTACTACCTGAGACCAGAAGAACTAGATGATGCCTGGCTGCCCTTTCTAACTGTTCTGATCAGGACCACAAGAGAAGATCCTGGACAGAGTGAAAGGAAAATGAAGAATAAAATTAAAAGTCATAAAAAAGACCAGACTTGCTGGTCTGGGGGAGCTCTTCTGGTGTAGTGCTTGAGGCATTTGACTGCTCCAGAAGGCTGGCAGTCCTTGTTAGCAATCACTATCAGCCACTCC